TAAGGTCACACAGGGTCTTGTCTGTTTTGGTCATAGATATACACAGAGTGGTTAGTAACTGTGTCAAGACTGTAGTGGGTGGTGGAAAAGAAAACGCTAGGCATGGAAGGGCAGAATCTAGGCTTTCAAGACAATTGATATACGTAGAACCTGCCTTGGTGGGCGCTATACAGGACTGAGTTCAGGATGGCATGATCACGCGCACACATGTATGCCCACCCCCATCTTGCTCCAGACACACTGTGATTTGTTACATAAATAAAAGTGATGTACACCAGTTTGGAACGGTGCTATTATATTAATTTCATGGAAACCAAAACAAAATGACTAACTCCTACTTCCTATTGCAATGCTGCCAACACCGGTACCAGCATCACAATGGAAGATTATCTTGGAAGCAATTTTTCTTTTGTTCTGATCCCTACCCATGTAACTGTTTCTTGCATTTGCAATCTCTATGTAAATCACAATCAAGAAGAAATACCCTAGTGACATATGCCCTCATTTTTAGAGAGAATCAGGTACAAATCCATGCTAGGAAAGAGAAGAGGTTTTAAATAATAACGGAAGTGTTCGTTTCAGTCCCCTCTCCCAGAAGCCTAGAAGGAAGACTTGTTGGGCGGAGGAGATGGGCTTCTGGTTTGCCTTGTGGCCAGGTTCTAGAGGGATGGAGGACACAGAATCTGTCTGTCTGTCTATTTTATGCTAGCTTAGCATCCTTTCCTTTTGGGATAGGATCCTCTTTTTCCAAGCCTCAGTCTATATATGATGTATAATTTTGGCCAAGTCTTCTTGATCCCCCGTGTGAAGAGGGCACCAGCTTACTGAACAAGAAAATTAGGCCAACTGCCAAAATAAATACTATAGGGGCAACGGATGGGAGCTGCGGGGAAGAGAAGAGAGCGGTATTAACCTGATGACATCTTGGAATCTCCAGGGTCAGCTCCTCCCTCGTTGAGGCCCACTGTGTGAGACAATGCATGCCCCTTTATCATGCTCTCTTGAATATGTTTTGCAGAGAAAGATTCTGGACATATTGGGGGGAGCATGCGCTTTGAACTTCTACATTCTAGTAGTAGGGGAGAGTTTACTTGGTAAACATCTTCAAAGTGGAGCCCAAAGATGACATATGTGTCACATCTTCCCACACACATGACACTAGTCACCAGTATGGTCATGTGACATGGTCCCTGTGCTCATGGAGCTGGGAAATGCGGGGAAGCAGTTGTTGCTGTTGTTTTAAATGTCAGAGAGGACAGTGAGAGGCGTGGTGGGAAGCAATAGGAGGTGTTCTTTCAAGAGACAAGTCTTTGGGGGGCATGATGAAACTCTTGCCTTGTCTGACCCTTGGTAGGAAACATGGGGTCGATCCTTCAAATGCCGTTTATAGCGCTGGCATCTGACGTGTTCCCAGTCTTAAAGGGAGTATGTTTGGCACTTTCCTTGGCTAAGACGTGTCTCTGATTGGAGGACTGTGATAGACAGGTAAGCAGGAAGGCTTGGGACTTCTCTAGCTCTTCTGTTTGTTATAGGAAAGTTCTTTACTGGAAATTTTGGATACCTCTCAACACTGGACCACTCAGAGCCTGGCCTAACAACCCCAAGTGGTCAGACTTGCAGGAGTCGGCTGGTGCTGGGGAAAGGCCAGACCATCCATCTGGTTTATCCTGTGGTATTGCCAGCTGCTGCCCTAGCTCCCTAGACTCACTCCAAATGCTGTCCTTGGGGAACCAGTGACATCTTCAACTTCCTCCCCTGGTCTCTTCATCCTAGGAGGCGGGGCTGGGGTCACTCTGCCACCCACACCTATTCTGACTTTCAGCGTCTGGCCTCTCTCCATCATGTTCAGAGTCTGGCACAGCCTTCCTGGTCTACACGATCACGTGAAGGGCCTCTTGGAAGTCAGTGCGGCACGGCAGCCAGGCTCGCTGCCAAATCCTATTAATCATGTGTGTTACAATTCTCTCAGGCCTCTCCCTCTCCTCTTTCTTTTTCCCCTGCTAGAAACCAGTTTCTAGTTTGCATGACTGTAACAGCTCTGAGCTGTCCCTCTCCTCCTGTCTGGTCTCCTCCTCGGCTGTCTTCCTCTGCACCCAGGGAGGCTGGAGAGATCTTTCTAACCCACACATCCCCACACGTCACTCTGCCAATTAAGCCCCGGGACAACTCTCCATGGCTCTCCGGATAAATACCCGCCAAGCATAATATACTCTTCCGTGTGGCCCTGGCTACTTTCTCTCAGGCCTTATGAGTTTTGGAGGTTTCCGGAACAGCCCCCTACACCCCTGTATGCTGGCCTTCTAGAAGGTGCCTCTCTGTCTGGAAACTTCTTTATGATATCTTTGCCCCTCTAATTTCTGCGACTCTTACTTCCAAAGCACTGGCTCCAACTTCCCTGAAACTCTCCCATGGCTCTTGTCAACCCTGTGACCTGATTTGGGCTCCCCAAATCTTTTAGTTTCTCCCCAGCAATCAGAAAAGTCATTTTCTAAGCTTCCTGGGGGGGGAGGGTTTAACCAAACTGTGCTGTCCTGGGTGTGTGGAACGGATGCATGAGACATTCAGGCTAGCTCACCAAGCTCCTTTGAAGTGTTTAAATCCTTCCTCTACTACAGCAGCCTTCGGGGCCTCAGTGCTTCATGTGGTAGGATCCCAACATGGAACAGCTGGGCCTAGTCAGCATTAGGAGATGCTGTGTGGCTCATTTGAACTGTGATGGGTTAAGCTTCTTAAACTTCCGGGCCTATTTGTTACCTGTGCCATGGATTACCTACTTCTGGCTGATACAGTGTGTGTCCCTTGTCTTGTGGTACTGGCTTAACATTGTGACACTTGAACGTCCCGATCACTGTGAACTGAGACAGCCTGCTGCCATGGGGGCCGACAGATGTCGCTAGTTTAGGGGCTACAAAACTTCTATAAGGAACTCTTGAAGCTCAGGGAGGACCGGCCAAGCCAAAGGCCCCCATCCACGCTGCGCTCAGCACCTCCCCCACACCTTTCTTCCGCTGGCTCCCCCACAGTTTCCAGGAGTTTCTTTTATTTCATTCACTAAACAGTTTATGAACTGAATTAAAATAAATGAGATGCAAATAAATTCCAGGCTTTCTCCCTCATTTTCAAATTACATTTTCAGTCCACTCAACCTGTTATAATCTCATAGTGATTTTCATTTAAGAGAGCTAAATGGATATGTGATTATTGTTACAGGAACGAACACCAGACAATTAAATGTTGAGGTGTTGATAGATAAAACTGTGTTTTGATTTGCATAAACATGATGCCAGCAAGTCTAACCCTGGCAGAAATTCAGTTAGAAGACTTGCGTGCCTAACTTCTGTTAATTACCACAAGTACCATTATTAAGAGTTTTAATATTCAGAGTTGGGATTATTGCCATTTTATTTTAGGGCCACATTTATCTTTATTTTGAAAACTTAGTCAAAACGCATAGCTAATTTATCAAGGAAAAGGCACGATTACTACTTATAATCAACTTCTACAGTGCAGCATATCAAAAATCAATTACACAGCCCTGAATCCAGTCATTAAGGATTTAGCCACTAATCTCATTCCATTTTTGTCTTTAGGAAGATCCCGCAGCTTGCAACTTTGCCGATATCAGCAGAGGGATAAAAACATGGAGTCTGCTGATAACCTAACGTGGAGAATTAAACTTGAGCCCGACAAAGGCGGAATCTTAATATGGAGTGGCCTGGCTCTGCAGGGAGGTCACCTGCCTGGCTGGGCTTCCGAAGTGATGACCCAGGTTTGTCAGGTGCTCAGTCTTAGCTCCCAGGATTCCGGAGCATTGTTTTTGACTTCGCAGCACTCTGTGTGTGGCTGTTTTCCTAGGGCCTCTCTTGACCTGCAGTTATCTTAGGTCTTTATTAGTCTCCTTCTTGGCTGACTCCTCTTTCCTGCCCTTTGCCCCTGAATGAAAGAGGCAGGAAGGTCTGCACTCTGCCTGTGTGACATCTATCTTAAGTATCTAGCACAGGGCCCGGCCTTGAGTGCTCGGTAAACATGTTTCGTCTATGATGAAGACAGGTTTCTGGCCATCATCTCCTCACCCTGGGAGAAGGGTTGTCACCATGGTAGGAGTAGGTCCCTCTGTGTGACATGAACTGACAGGAACAGGAGCTACAGGGCTCCCGTCATCAAAACAGGAAGATGTGTGAGACTGTGGCTAAGACTACTGGCCAGTGAACAAGACAGAGAGGACCCGGGGTCAGGCCCTGTCTTAGCCTTGAATTTTAGCCATTATGTCCTGACTTCTAATTAGCTTCCATGAATCTCTGCTTCTCACCTGAGATCCCAACAGGCTACTGAAAGTATTATAGTAACACAAATAGAGCATTTAACTTAGTGCCCATAGCACAGACATCCGCAGTGAGTGTGTTTCAGAGAGCGTTTGCACAGATGTCCTCAATAAACATGTTTTTTTTGTTAGCTTTACAAAGATGTAGGTTAGGGCTGGTCAAAACTTCCTGGTGCCCATATTTTGTTCCTTCCTCTCGGGATACCTCTCTGATTCCTCAGGCTAACAGACATCTTCCTTTGTGTCCACACAGTATACCCAAGGGGTCTGTCTTCACACACCCTGTGGTCATTCTGTGTCTGCGTTTCTAGGAGAACATCACTCCTTGGCTGTAAATAACATGCTTCATACTTTTGCTCTTCCAGAAGATTACCAAGCACCCGACAGACAGCAGCCCTGACTCATGTGTCGCATTGCCCAGATAGTGACAGCTGAGGGAGATGGCAGGTGTAGAATGAAGACCGATACCCTGTCCAGCTGAGGCAACCCGTGAATTTACCACGGGGATCGCTGCCCATCTGTCAGGAAATGGCGGGGTTTTCCTTAAACCTAGAGGCAAACACCTCCCGCTTTCTGAGGGTCGGAAGGTATTCTGGAGGCCTAACATTCCCCTCTGCAGTGTGAGGAAGGGGCCTGTTTCCCTCCAAGTCTGTGGCAGGGCGAGGATTGACCTGCTTACCCGAAGCTTCCTCCCGAAGATGGTGACTTTGCCTTTAATCTGTTCCTTCCTCAGGCGCCACTCGATGGAGTTGAGGCCTTTCTCCATGGGCAGGGAGATGTTGCAGCGGCCGATGGTGGGGGTGATGGTGCCTGCGAGGACGTGGGGCTCACTGTGGAAGCTGACGCCCATGCCGTTGGCGTACATCACCCGCAGGGTGCCGTTATTGCAGAGCTGGTAGCTGTTTCGCACTTGATCTGGAAGAATGGGGGTGGGGGTGTGGGGAGGGGGAGAGAAATTATCCGCTCGGTTAGTCGGGAGAGAACAGAACCCCTATTTTTACAGGTTTCCATGGTTCTTTGCAGCTGTCAGTCTGAGGCTGCCTTCAATTAGCACGCACACAATGGGAAGGTGAGTAGCGGAGATGTTACTGATCCGCGGGAAGGAAAACATTATTAATATGTGGCACTCCAGAAATAATTATGCCGTGATATTTTTCTTTTACTCACTGAAGACTATTAATAGCACATTTAAACATTTAAAGATGTCTATTGCCTACACAATTTGTGTCAATCAAATCCCTGAACTTTAACATATATATTTTAGCTTATACGAAGAAAGAAAGAAATGAAAGGCAAGCTGCTTGCGTTTTTCCCGCCCCTCTGGCCTATCGTCTAACCCGAGGTTGATGGTCTGAGCAAGGGTCAGAGGCACTGCGACGCAAGTCCAGTGTTCGTCAGCACAGTGAAGAGACGAAGCTCCCTTCCTCCACTTCCTGGCAGCATGGCTGCCTGTATCACTATGTTACCACAGAACTCGGGAAACACACACAGTGTGAGGTAAATGGAGTCAGAGGGGGCTGGTAACGCGTGTTTATCTCCCCGAATAGCATCTACACCAGTCAATCAGACTTCTGACCTTTCCCTGTATCAGATAATCACAGGCAGGAGCCCGCTTTTAGAGGCACGCTGTTTCCTCATCATCTGGGTGAAGGAGCCAGGCTGGGCTGGCTTCTGAGATGCCAGCTTTGGGGGGAGTGAGCAAGGTTGTACCTGTCACTCAGTGACTCTGGCCATCACACAGAAGGACAGAATCTACATCGTTAATCATCTGGCGGAGCAGAAATAGAGCCATTGAAACAGGCTTTGCCGAGGGATAATAGTCTAGAAATGTCATCATTTATCTACGGAAAGGACACTGTTATCCTCTGACAACTGGCGAGCCCACCGACATTATATCTTAATTAAAAGAAAAAATTAATCTGTAAAACGCTGTTTCTTGCCAGCCCCTGTGCTTGCCCTGGATTGCCGACAACAGAAGCAGCGGGCGGCAGAGACCCTGGGATCTGGGTCCTGGCAAGAGATTGTTCGAGAGTGTATTTGCAAGAGAGAATCAGAATGGAATGATGAAACCCAAATCCAGTGGTCGCCCAGGAGAATAAACACCGCTTGAGAAAATAACGACATGGGTTGGATTTTTTATAGGGTGAAGGAAGGAAATAGGCAAGAAAGAGGAAGAAAGTAGTTGGGGGAAAAAATCAGATGGTTTTGGATACTTAGGTTTCTCCAGATAATTAAACCTTTGGTGAGAGGGTATGACATTTCCCTGAAGCTGAGAGATTTATTTTTATTTCTTTTTTTTCCTGAGACTGTTTTCGGATAGCCTGGGTATGCTGTAGACATTTAAGTAAGACAGAAAACTGAGGAATGTTCTGGATGTTTAGAAGTTCCCTCAGGTGAAGGATTGCTGGCTCTGTAGCTGGGAATGAGCTGGGGGCTGAGGGTGTTGGGCTGGGGCCTTACCCTGTACCACTGTGTAAGAGGCCTCCACCGAGGAGAGGTTGGTGATCACAGTGACGTCATCATCACGGTTGGAGTTCTCAATGTCAATGGTGATGGATTTCTCCATTTCCCGGTGCAGACTGGTCACCACCCCCGTGGGGCGTGTCACGTTGGTCAGACGGCCCTCGTGGTCATAGCTGGAGGGAAGATACAGGATTTGAAGCACAGCCTGTGGAGCCAGAAGTTTTCTTGACCTTCAGACCCACAGGAAGGTCAGACGCAAGGGGCAGAGAAAGAGAGACTGGAAAATGGGCGCCCCTGGATGCTGCTCCACACTGAAGGCCTGCTGTAATCCTAACCTCTACCTGTCCTGAGGCGCAATGCTGTGGTTTTCCTGAGCCCTTTGGTGTCACCTACTTCACCTCAGTGGAAACTAGTCCCCTGGTCTCAAGCAGTGTGTGCGTACACCTTCCTGAGCTGGCAGGAACAGCTACTTGTAAGCATTCTTTTGCTCTGCAGAGCTACCAAGTCAATGCTCCCCAACTATCCGCTCCTTTCTGTCTTGCTTCTGCTGAGCAAACCTTTATTTAAGTGTGTGTGTGCGTGTGTGTGGTGGTGGTGGTGGGGGGGAGGGCTGTGTACACTCATGCCCATGAAAACCAGAAGAGAACTGGAGTTACAGGCAGGTGTTAGCTGTCCGGAGTGGATGCTGGGAACTGGACTTGGGTGCTTTGGAAGAGCCCCGAGTGCTCTTAATCACCAAGCCATTTTTTCCAGCCCTTAAACCACACTGTTTCCCCCACTGGTTGTTTACCCGATCCAATCAAAACCTGGCATTTGAGACCATCTGAGCTGTGGTCTTTTGCAAGGTACCACCTCATTCCACGTATCACCTCCTCGTAGACCTCTCAAAGTCAGTCTGGTACAAATGCCACCTTCACATTCTGGCCCCAGACACTCCAATCCTAGCTTGGCCTTGTAGTTTCTAAGGAGCTCAGCTACCCTAGCCTGCTGGGGAGACTCACTGGATCTCAATTGTCCTTGGCATCCATGTCTGGGCATGCCATGAGCACATTTTCAGCCTGCAGACTCCCTGATGAGAATTCTTTATGGATATGAGTTGTCATCACCCCTTTCTCAGCAGGTGGTAATGGTTTTGCTATTTCCAGGTGGAGAGGATTTCCCACTAGAAAACAACTGGACTGTGAGAGGCTCCTGTCTAAGGAGGTGAGGAAAATGACTCTTCTCACCGGCTGCATAGAGAAGTCTCTGGATTCGCTCGCGTGGGTTTTCACACTCAGGAGAGATGGGGAGGAGGATGGAGCCATGAGGTCTTTGCTTAGAGAGTGAAAAAGGACACACAGCTAGACCTCCTGCTGGAGGGGGGGGGGGTCTCCTTCTGGACTGGGGAGAGGAACCCAGTTGGTCAGTTCTGAGTGACGGGTCCCAGAGTTGGTACGGTGTGTGCAAAGGAGGTTGTCCATGGGGCACCCCATGGGAGAGCAGTGGGGAAAATTACTATGAAGCCAAGCATCGAGGGAGCTGAGATGCTTGGGATGGAGACCTGCATCAGACTTGGGCTGACCTAGAACTGTTGTCTTTAGGGGGAAGAGGAAACAGTCAAGCCCCGTGGATGCTAAGCTGCTTGGCCAGTGGGGTAAAGTTTGTGAGAGGACCAGGAAGCTTGGCGAGCTGAGGGTCCAGCCTCTTGTCTTTGTCCCATTCCTCGCCTAGGGCTCTGTGCAGTGAATTGGGGGGGGGGGTCCAGCCACTTGTCTCTGTCCCATTCCTCGCCTAGTGCTCTGTGCAGTGGAAATCTAGAAAGCACCTTCCTCTCAGAGGCTTGGTGCTGTAACCATGGAGGGGTTCCAGGCCTTCTAAGCCAAAGGGGAGCCCTCTGTTTATTCTCAGGTTTCTCAGATGGGGGCCCAAAGATTCTATTTATAAAAGCGACAAGTTAGAACTATACTGAAGGATCAGCGATTAAGGATTATTAAATAATTACCTATATATAAGACAGAAACCTAGGCAGCTGTCAAAATGAACAGCGTGGATTCTTATTTATTGGCACATGGGCATGTGTGCACGAGCACACACACACACACACACACACACACACACACACACAGAAGCGGGGTGGAGTGGGAAAGGGGAGAGCAGAGACTCCTCCCTTCCTAGCACATGACTTTTACGTGTAGTTTCTGAAAATAGAGACATAAATATTAACCGGGTTTTTATGTGTGGGATTTTGGCTAATTTTTGTTTTCCTCCTTGAATATTTTAGTTTTAGTAATTGTTGCTTCCTTTCATATTTGAGAAGCATAAAACTACTTTGAAATTAGAAAGCAAAGCAGTGATGTTTGTGCTTTGATGTCTTAAGTAGACTTGGCAGCAGAGATCCACCACACAAGGACTGTGTTGAATGCCTTCTCTGGGACCTGAGTGGGATTTGCAATCCCGAGCTCTGTATTTTAGGACACTTGCAATGGGCAGGTTGCTGTTCATGCTTCTGAGGGGAGGGAATAGAGCTTCTTCTCTGGGGCAGGCAGTGAGGATGGGGGAGGCAGTGAGGACAGGGGCGGGGGGGGGAAGCAGAGGATGGGGCAGGCAGTGAGGATGGCTGGCAGGGGTGGGGTGGGGTGGGGCAGAGGCAGAGAGGACAGGGGTGGTGGGTGGAGGAGGCAGTGAGGACGGGGTAGGCATTTCACAGACTTTGAGAAAGAAAGCGTGCTCTCTGGCTTGTAGGCTGACTTTCATGGGGATGCAATTGGCCACAGCTTTGCTTGCTTCCCCAGGATAGATTTGCAGATTCAGCTCTCTGTGCAGAAACCTCTCTGCTCTCGAGAGAGAGCAGCAATTACTACCAATGGGGTCTCAATGTTAACCTGGCAGACTCGGCAGAACCTTGGTGGCCACGGGGTGTTTGACTTGCTCATAGTCGGTGGACATTCAAACACCTCTTACATGTAAGCTGCTGGTGAAAGCACCAGAGATTTCTATGAGAATGAAATGGACAAAATTCCATGCCTCTTGCCAGGCTAAAAGGCAAAGATAAACCAAGGCTGCTCTCCCCTATTCTGGGAACATGGCAGCAGGGGGTGGGGGTGGGAAGAGACTCAAAGCCCAATTCTTACGTCTCCATTTTGACTGGCTTTCCTAAAGCCACGTTCTAAGACAGAAATGTAACTGTCTCCTGAGGGGCTCATTCCAGCTTGGGAGAGTGCCGAGCCTGCTCTTTCTCTAATATAACTGCTGAACTTCATTCCAAGGGGAAGTCAGCATCTAGACTGTATCACATGCTGTTTTCCTCCTGCCTGAATCTGGAGGAAGATGTGACCATAGCCACGGAGCACACAACACAGCCCTCTCTTCTCGTGGGCCTGACCTTAAGGGTCATTATATTTTCTACCCCTCTGGATTCCAGTTTGCAAAGGTATACTCTGACCCTCAGGAGATCAGGACCCCTAGAACTGAGGATGGCGAGAGAGGGGGATATAAACCCCTCTCTTTGAGAAGCACTCAGAGTGCAAACTGCCCCCCTCCAGTCTACTGCTTGAAATTAAGTCCTGTCTAACTCTTGCATCCTTCTTTATGCAGGAGAGGATGGAGACAGATGTGCTTTATAATGTCTGCGTTAGCGTCTAGTTTCTGTTGAGCTCCTGGAAGCCAGCTTTTGCTGATGGCCTAAGATATACTAGCTCCATGACTGGTCACAGCTCCCGTGCAGCTGAGAGTACCATTTGACACATGTGACCGCTGAGGCTCAGAGACATGGAGATACTTGTCCAATGACAACAGGAAGTATGTGTCAGAGCGAGTATCCATACCACTGCTGCGGAAGGCCGTGGAATCTCTCAATCCCTCTAAAGGTGGACCTTGCCTAGGATATGCTATTAAGACTCAATAGCCCACTAAGGGGGAAATTTTAATCCAAGGCTGGGCTTCCTGGAACTGAGGGTCAGCTTACACTGAAGCACAGACAGGTTCTCTCTCTCTCTCTCTCTCTCTCTCTCTCTCTCTCTCTCTCTTTCC